ATTCGCGAGCTCACGGCGTGCCTGCAGCAGCGGTTTCACTACAAGGAGGGTAAACTGCAGCTGTACGCCGAGCGCGTGGAGGTGCGTGGCCTCTCCGCCATGGCGCAGGCCGAGTCACTCCGCTTTAAGCTCTTGAGTAACCTGCAGGTGCGCCGTGCCGCCATGGGCATCGTCCGCCATGTGATGGAGTGTGGTGCGAAGGGATGTGAGGTGACGGTGGGGGGCAAGATCAAGGGACAGCGTGCCAAGAGCATGACCTTCCGCGACGGCTACATGATCAAGTCTGGTACGACCCACAAAAACTTCGTGGACGCCGCAACGCGCCACTGCCACCTGCGTGCCGGCACCATTGGCGTCAAGGTGAAGATCATGCTTCCCACGAGCATGAAGGGCGAGGATGAGATTCTCCCTGACGTGATCACCGTCATTGAGCCCAAGGAGGCCGTCGCCTAATAACGGTGCCCACGGACCACGGGAGGCGTAGATGTTGTACCAATACGTATGCATGTGTATGTTTCGGTGCTTGTTCTTCGCCTTCTTTTTTTCCCCCTCTCATGCTTCGTTACTTCACATGTGTTTTGTGGAGTCATCTTTGCTCTTGGGACTTATTTTCTTCTTTTTTTTTTCTGTAGTCAAATGTTGTCTTCTTTTTCTCTACTGTTGTCACCGCGCAGGTCCTGCTGTTTCTGCCTCTGCGTGCGTCTATGATCGCGCGCACAGGAGCAGCGGAGACTCCCATGCATTACTTGCAATATGTCTCCCCTTGCGAGATGCATGCAATTCTGCTTGCTCTTCTTCATATTCTTGCCTCCCCTTTGTAGCATAGTCGTCTCCACATTTCTTCTTTCTCTCAGGCGCAAGGGTTTCATAAGGGAGGGGAGGAGGGGGAGGAGTGCTGCCCTGCATCCCCGTCCAGGCAACAGCAGCGGTTGTGTGTGTGTGTGTGTGTGTAGACACCTTCGTGTCGTACTTACGTGCCTCTGCATTTATGTGGACGTTCATTGGAGACTGTGGACTGCATCGTTCCTCCCATTAATTCTCTTTCTTTATGCATCTATCCATCAATCAATCTTCTTTTTTTTTTTAATAGTGTGGTGTACCTCTGTTCTCCGTACCAGCCACGACGTTACACATCTGCGCACTGGCAGAAGGAGGCAGAGAAGTCGTTTGAGGGCGAGGAAGAGGAGGAAACGGAATAGTATACTCAAACAATGGCGTTCGCCACACTCTTCACACGCGCCCGAGCGTTGTTTGTGGGGCGGAAACTGCAGAGTCTTGTGGCGTTTGGTCTGCGACAGGAGTTTTCACCCTTGTGGCCTGTCCCGCTTCCACCGCAGCTGCCGCAGGACGTGGGGAAACCGACGCTTGTGCTGGACATTGACGAAACCATTCTGCACACGTACGGCATGCAATTGGAAACGGAGGACACGGTGGCCTTTTTTCTGTTCCTCCGTCCACACCTGCGCGAGTTCCTTAAGGAGGTGAAGGAGTTGTATGAAGTCGTCTTTTGGACCGCGGGCACGGCGTCGTATTGCTCCGCCATGGTGGACGCCATTGAGGTGCAGGTGCTGCAACTGCCACGTTCCCTTTGCAACGTGAACGAGATGAAACTTGCTGCTAGTGGGGCTCCGTCGACGGACAATGTCAACTTCTATGCCCTATCCCGCACGCAAACGCTGGAGGGGGAAAACTACATGAAATACCTTCCCATGCTGGGTCGCCCCATGCATCGCGTCATCGTGCTCGATGACAATGTACGTAGTTTTCCGCTGCATCCGCGAAATGCCGTGAAGGTGCCGGTGTTCCTTCCCGACGACCGGGCATTGATGGAGTACGGCCAGGGAGTGTCTCTCATGAATGAGGACGGTGCCCACAAGGACGACGCGTCCTTGTTAGAGGCCATTAGTCGTGGCAAGGCGGAGGTTGCCCGCTTGGAAAAGGATCAGGCGCTGCTGCAGCTTCTTCCCCTTCTGCGGCGGGTGGCCCAGGCCGAGAATATCCCGCGTGAGCTCGATCACTGGCGCGACGACGAATACGTGCGCTGCGACGACTTCCATGAGACGATGAACCCGCTCTCCGTCACACGTCAACGCGTCCTGGGGTCGGTGCTGCCGTCACGCCGTGACACGCCCATCCCGCCGCTGAAGGCGCATTACATGAATCAATGTTTTCTGGAGGAAGCGAATACCGCCATGCGAAGCCAGCAAATGCGGCGGGATCGTTCAAAACTGTAATAAGGCACGCACACACATGGAAGCTGATGTCAGGCTGTAAAGAGGCAAACAGCAACAGCACAACAGAATTTTGACGGTGCCTGGAGGGACTGTGAAGGGAAGGAGAAGAATATGTTAAGGAGCATTGTTTGTTTTACATGGATCACCTAATTTTGTTTTACCAGTGAACATGTAACGGGGCACATTGTAGTCAGGGAAGTGCGACGAGGCGTGCTTCGCTTCGTGCCGTATGATGTGCACCACTTATTGTCATGCTTCTCTACATAATTTCTTTTTGTATGTGGGAGGGAGGGGGATCTGCATTTGACTCCCTGTCATTGCTTGCGTTCACTACCACTAGTACTACCACCACCTTGTCTTGTCACGCTATGCCCCCCCACCACCATTTTTTTTTTCATCTTTGCGTTTCTGTCTGTGGTGTGTTTTACACGGGCGACAAGGGCAAGAGACTGAAGAAGGGGACGAAGACGCAGCAAAGTAAGCGAACAAAAAAAAAACAGAGGGCTGTGGAGGCGTGGCATCCCTGTTGCATTGAAATGTTGTCGAGGGAAACGTGCGCGTCGTCGATGTCGTTTGTTTCCTCCCGCAGTGGAATGCGTGGTGGAGGGCGGCCCTCCGTCGCGACGATTGAGCTGCTGGAAGCCATCAACCATGCAGAGGAGCGCGTCACGGCGGCATGGACGCGCGTTGGTCTCGCGGAGGTTGACCGGCAGAATAAGTGGAACGGCTTTGTTGAGGGGCGACTCCGCCCTTTTCTTGACGACTACGTTCGTATGCAGGAGTCGGAGGAAGTAGCCATTGCCGCAGGAAATGATCGGCTCTTTCGTGAGATGTTTTTTGCCTCGTTGCGCTTGAAGGAACTTCCTCGGTCGAAGGAGTTGGCGCAGTTAGTGGAGGTGGTGCTGTCGCAGAGGACCATGAACAGCACAGTCGGCGAGGAACAAACAGATAGACACTACGGTACGATTCCCAAGGCGATTGGTTGGGACAACAGCGGGGATCCACTTGGGGACGGCGAGGCGAGGGAGCGTGACAGCTCCGTGAGACTGCCGTCATTCGTTTCCGTTGTGGCGGCGTTGTCGGTGAAAGGGGAGGAGGGCTTCTGCTCCCGCAGCGCCTCTATCCCGTCCCGCGCCCGCGACGACGTTCCATATGTACACCCTGACCACGAGAGCCGAAGCCCATCGATCCCAACACCTGACGGCGTTTCCGCACAAGACGCGGCATGGGCTGCGTTTCGGCAGCTGACGCGAAGCATGACGCATCAGCAGCTGCATCGCAACCTGGAGAGCGAGGTGGAGCGTATGAATGCGCTTGCTGACACACGACTTCAGCAGTTGTGTTTGCTGTACAAGCAGCGTGCCCTGCTACGTCTTTCGCCGCAGGAGCAGGCATGGATGCGTGGAAAATACGCCGAAAAACTTCTTTCTGGAGAAATGCATAAACAGTCACGCAAAGGGCAGCAACCAACAGCGGCGGTGTCAACAACTGGATGTGGCAGCTGCTGCAGCAATACCCGTGAGGGAGGAATCGTGGCCCAAGGCTCATCCTGGGGTCGTACCACTGCCTGCCGAAGTTGTCACTCCGTCACGAAGGACGAGTTAGACCTCCTCTCAGATTTCTTGCCTGAGCGGCTGCGTGTAGAACGTGAAGGCCCACGGCCGTGCGGGCACAGCAAGGATGAGGCACCCGGCGCGGAGTCACAGGAGGAGTTCTCAGGACGTGAAACAATCTTTGAGGTGGATTTGGGGGATGTGACTCGGTTTGGCAGGCGCCAAGACTTGTCGTTGGCCCGCATCGATGCGGAAACTCAAGAAATCTACGATGAAATTGTCGCACAGAACGAGCATATGGCCGCCCAGGCGGAGAAGGAGCTGCAGTGCGTTGAGGAGGTGTGGCAATTGTTTGAGGACGGCGTAGGTGGCGTCGCTAGCGGGATGCTATCCACGAGGGAGGCGGCGGCGGAGGACAGCGACGGTGTCGTGCGAAGTGTCCCGTCGAGACAGGAATTCCACTACCGCATCATGCAAATGCGCCGCGAGTATGAAGACCGAGAGGAAGCTGTGGATGAGACGTTTAAACACCTGACAGAGCCTGCGCATGGCATCGTCGGTAGCAACAGCAACGGCGGCGGCGAGGGGGAGGAGGAGCGCCACAGTGGCAATAGCAGCACCAACAACAATAACAGCAGTGGCGCCACGTTTCCCGTACTTCGAACGACGCCCATCGCACGGCCGCCGGAGTGTTCGAATTGTCTGGCTAATATCTCAGAGGGTAATCGCATGAGCGCCGCTGCCACGGCAGGAAATGCTGCCGGTGGCATCACAAATCAGCTTCCAGCGCCGCTGGTTAAACTGTTCACCACCCGCTCCTACGCGCCCATTCTTGCCTACATTGTTGCAGTGCGGGAAGAACTGCAACGTCGTTTGCTTCAGGGTCATATTCAGTGCGCCCAGGATGTTACCTCACAACTTACAGAGCTTTATCGCTGCTACTTTGAAAAAACCCGCGATACGGCGTACTACGTGGCACCTGACTACTCGCAGTGGCTGCAGGAAAACGCCGAGGTGGTGGTGGTGGGGGTGGGGGCGGCGGACAAGCGAGCTTGGCCTCACCCACCCCGTGCCGACGAGGCAAGTAGTGGGAAAGGGCTATGGCAACAGTTTTTGGCCGCATTTACGCCCCGAGACTGTAATGACATTCTCTGTGAACGTATTGCGGAGGTGCGACACGTTGTCAATCGGGCCAGCGCCGAGGCCAATCTTCTGCGCCGTCGTTTACAGATACTTGACGAGGTGGAGCCGCTGCTTCAGCGGCGGTCTGAAATTATCGCGCAGCAGTGCGCCATTCAGGAGGGCAGCCGGGATCGCCTGCTTAGCAAAAAGATCAACATGGCAAAACAGCTGTTGTTTGAGGAAAACGCACGCCGTCAATTTGCACGGGAACTGCCAAAGATTTACGAGCAGCTGGAGGGATTGCTGTGCCAGTGGAATGAGACGGTGGAAACTGACGAGGGTCATCCTCACAGCAACGGCACCCGTGTGGTCAGGCGATTGGTTCTGCACGGCACCGATATTGAGGATATTGTGCGGCAGTTTCGCGACGACGCACACGCGCGCGGTCGCTGTGGCTGCTCTCCGCCACCCACTCGAAGGGACGTTACTGGATTCTTGACACCGCATCGAACACCGTGCGTGGCACACTCAATCACCCACCACAAGGCTCACTCTCATCACGTGCACGTGGAAAAGCAACATGAACAAAAATACGCAGCCGATGCCCTGTCGCCGCCGCCGCGCTCCATCGTCGTGAGTTCCTCTGCACAGATAACACCTGTACGTACGAAGGTGCACGCCGCAAAGAAGAGTACCCACCCTGCGAGTAGTGTCAGCCCCGTTCCAGTGAAGCGGACGGCGCTAGTTGCGTGTCGACGAGGCGTTCGATCGGTGCCGTCGGTGAATGAGTTCTTGCAGCGCCAGCCACGTGTTGTCCCAGCCACGTGCAGCTCCTCCAGAAGTAAACCAACGTCGGCGTCTTCACGAGCCAACACCCCTATGAAAAAGTGAGCACGGTTTCCCCACTCACTTGCGGGTGTTGTGGATGAGTCCCTGCATTGAAATATTACTGTTATATATTTATCTATTCCGCTTCCATCGGATTGGTTTGGCTGTTGTTGTTTCTTTTGTTTGTTTGTTTGCTTGTTTTTTTTTTTTTTTCTAGATTTAGACGCAACGACAATGCCGGGATAGAAAACCTTTTTTTTTCCTCGTTATTGGTCAAAAAGGAAGGAGTTTCTGGGTTGCTATGCATCCCACGATTTGTGTCTCCTCTATCCCTCTTCACCCTTCACAAATCCACAATCCCACCTGTTTTGTTTGTTTCTTTGGTTGGTTGGTTACTTGTTTTGGCGGCCGCTGCTTCTTTGTGATGAGTTTTCAGCCGCATGTGTATGTGTGGTGTGTCTTGCAGTAGCTGTACCGCTTGTTTTTTTTTTTTGCTTTGGTGGGTGGATGGGTTTCTGCGACCTCCATGAGAGTACGAGCCCCTGCTGGGAAATGGAGGGCACGGGCTCGTCAGTGGGCCGCTGCTGCCCGTGAGAAGTCCTGCTCTCTGTCTCAGTCTGTGGCGCGACGGGGCAGAGAAGAAGCGGTGCGTGGGGGGGCACGTTGATGTGAACGACGTCAAGCACCCACCCGTTTACAACAGAGCACAAAACGAACGGTAAAAGCGAACACCATTACACACACGCACAGCTAGTGAAAGAGAAAGAGAGGGACGGTAAAAAAGGAAAAGGAGGTGGTCCTTGTGGGTGCATGCAAGTCAGCCCCCATCAGAGTCTCTTTTTTTTTTTTTTTTTGTTGGTTTGTTTTTATTCTTGTGTGCCTCTCCCTCTGAGTCTCTGCGTGCATTGTTTGTATTGTTAGAAGAAACTGCAGTCTTCAGGGCAGAACAAAAATACGAAGAATATATATATATATATATATATATATGATAGATCCAAATTGTAACCGTACATTTATGTGTATGTCTGTTTCTTTTTATGTTTGTGTTTCTCCGTGTTATCATACATCGAGGCGGTGGATGCCCTGCCACGGTGAACGGCCCATTGGCTGGTGTGTGAGGCATGCATCGGTGTCTGTGCAGGCACGTGCATCTCTCTCTTTCTCTCTCCGTACTTTCTGTTGCTGATGATGTTGTTTAACTCCGAACCCTCTATTTTTCCGTTGTTGTTGTTGTTTTTTTCCCACCCTCTACGGCCGCAGGAGTTGGCGGTGGGCACACACGTTCTATCACGCCTTCACTAGAATACTAACAGTCGTGTTTAACGAGACATTGGGCGTGGCGGCTCAAGGTGGATTCAGCGACCCAGGCGTAACCCGCGAGAAGCAATGGCGGTGCCAAAGGAGTGGACGGACACCTGGAACCTGTTCGACGAGCGCAAGACTGGTAGCGTGAGTCAGACCGACGCCAAGCACATCATCCGCAGTCTTGGGCGCCGCTACACGGAGGCGGAGTTCAACGAGCTGCTGCAGGGCGTCCCCGACCCGGTGCCGTACGAGAGCTTCGTCGCTCTCATGCAGAAGCCGTACACTGGGCCCTCCGAGGATGACCTGCGAACGGCGCTGCGTGCCTTTGACGCCACGGACTCGGGCTACCTGAAGCTCTCGGAGCTCATCACGCTCCTCACGTCGCTCGGGGAGAAGATGCCAGAGCACGAGGTGAAGCAGCTTCTAGCGGAAGTGAAGACTGATGAAGAGGGCCGCGTCGAAATTGACGACCTTGTGCGATTTCTTTGCACACCGGTGCCATCCGTGACACCCGACATCGCGGAACTGCAGAAGCAGCTTGCCAACGCCAGCTGAGCGCAGCCGCGCAAGGCACGACGATGCATTTGGGGGAGATGCGGAGTGAACGAGAATGCAGGACGGAGCATGAAAACAAAAGCGAGGAAGTAAGGAAAGAGACACACACGAAAGAAAGCAAAAAAAAAAACGAAACAAAGCGAAATCTCAATACCGCGGTTTTGGCATCCAGCAGTGTGCGGGACGTTTTTTTTTTTTCTTTGTGTGTGTGTGTGTGTTTGTTTTCTTGTTGTTGTGTGTGTTGCATGAGCACAAGTAGAGGCGCATCTACGTAGTTATCCGCCATCTTCCATGAACCTCGTGGGCGGGGGCTTTAAGTGTATGTATGTAGCTTTAGAAGAGGAAAAAGGAGGAGGTGTGTGGAAAAGAGAGGAGTGAAAGACCAAAGATGCATATCGTCACGAGCCTATGAAAGACTCCAGTTGCATTTGTCCCTCTCTCCGTATATATATATATATATATATATATATCCAGGCAGACAGGCACGTCCGTCTGTAGGTATGTGCCCCATACAACCCTACGTCTAGATGCACGTTCCCCCTGTGATTGACAGGTGTGCGTGCATGATTTCCTGCTCTTTCTTGGTGATGTATATATGTTTTTTTTTTTGCTTTCTTGTGGCTGGGGGCCATAGATTGTTGCGTGGACTTCCCTGCTGCCTTCTGCTGACGTGTTGTCACAGCTACCCCCGTTAGTAAGCCCGTCCTGCAACGGCGCACAGGAACCTCCTCCTCACGCTGAGACCCATTGTAGGCAATAAAGAAAAGAAAAAAAAAACGCCGGTTGAAAGAGTGGCGAGAAGGAGGCGAAGAAGTGGAGAAGTGGCGGCCAACGGGGGATACGTCCCTCCCTGTATCGTCATCGGCCGGCTCACACCAACTTTGCTGTAGTTTTCGTGGTTGGTTTTGTTTTGTTTTTTGTTGTTGTTGGGACTCGTCATATTTATTCCAGTACCCGTAACCCGCTTCACGCCATGGAGGTGTCGGGGCCGACGGGAGAGGCGCTTCCACCACGAGAGGGTGGCCCCACGTCGCCCTCCGTGTCGGGTTCCTCCGCTGCGGCGCGTGTGACGGCGTCGCTCGAATCCTCCCCGCAGCCGTCTGTGGCCGACGAGGCGGGAGCTGGTGACTCTCCAAGCATGTCACAAATTCCTGCTATCGACGCCCTGTTGTTGGCGCAACGGATGCGAGAGAGCACGGAGCTCGGCTCGGACACCGCGGAGCAAAGTCCAACGACTCCAAGCAGTCAGTCCCCCGTCGCGGTGAACCCGCGGCGCTCGCTAAACCCCGCCTTTTCCCTTAGCCCTCGTGCAGCAAGTGGCGGTGGCGTGCTGCACGTCACCTCAGCCACGCCAAGCGTCACCTTAAGCACAGACCGGGATGCGCCTCCGATGGAGTACAGCTACGCTCTGGGCACAGTGGAGGGCCGTCGCAACTTTGTTGCAGATGTGTTGCACCTCGCAAGACAGATGAGCATGCAGAAGCTTGTAGAGGAGCTTCTTCCTGTCTTATTGCTGGCTTCAAACTACGAAGATACTGTCTGCGCGATTGCCCGTGTATTACCGGATGTTGTGAAACTCGTTCCGGCACTGAGCGAAGATACATTTGTGTACTTTTTAGGACTTATCATGAATTTATGCTGCGCTGCTGATCACATCGCTTTGCGTGCGGTTGCGGCGTCGCTGCGGGAGATTGGGTGTTACGTGAATGATGACATCGCTGCGAACCTGCTGCTACCCCTCCTAATGTCCATGTTAGTGTCCTACTGGAGCTCCCCAAGGGCCGTGGCCGCATCTTTGCTAGGCGTCTTTGCTGCCCGACCGACGCTTGTAGAGAAGAGTGGTATGAAAGTGATGCAGTGGTTTAACTGTTTTATTGACCTCGCAAGTGACAGGTGTCAGTTTGTGCAGGAGATGGTGGTACGCTCGCTGCATCAGTGGGTGGCTGTGGCGAAGGCACACGGTGTGAATATTGTCGAAATGCTACTTCCCTTAGTGCATGATTGCATGACAGAAGAGAAGAGCGACGTGGTTCGTCACTTGCACGTCGCTGAACTTGTGACTCTCGCGGAATGCATAGGAAAGGAGGCAACGACGAGGCACCTTCTGTCGCTGTTTATTGAGGCAACCAAAGACACCAGTTGGCGTGTGCGGTACACCGCCGCATTTCACCTCGGACGCTTTTCCAGCTGCTGCTGTCTTCATCCGGATGCACTTTTAGACGTCTTTGTTGCCCTCTGCAGGGACGAGACGAAGGAGATCCGTGCCGCCGCCGTGGAACAGCTTGGTGTATTCTTTCGTCTGAATTCGCCAGAGTTGCTAAGCAAAATGTGTGTGGTAGCAGCCTCTCTTGCACAGGACAGGGAAGTCATTGTGCGGACAAGCGTCGCAAATTTTTTTTATGTGTTCCTCTCCCCCAGCATTGTTGAGGAGTACACAGCGGAGCAGCTGCAGGCCCTTTTTGCCCTCTTAACCGACGAAAATTACATCGTTGGGCAAAGTGTAATGCGGAGCCTGAAAAGTGTCGCTGCAAACCTCAGCAAATACCTGAACCCCGCTGGAAGCGATGGTGAGCGGAAGGTCGCAGGGGAGGAGGAATTTTCGGTGGCGTGTAACAGTCACCAGGGCAGACGCAGTGGGAGCGCCATGAACTGCTCCCCTTCTGCTCGCGCAGACGCTGATGTTCCTCCACCGTTGTTGACGGGGCCAGTCGACGAGGAACAACGACGGCGTGCCACACTCGTTATTTCAGGACTCATTGATCAGCTACACATCGTTCGCGATTCGAAAAACTGGCGCATGCGTGAGGCGCTGGTCGTTGCTATCCGCTACTTTTCTGTCACCCTTACAGAAGAAGGCTTCATTCCGCTTCTGTACCTTATTCGCTCGCTGCTTCGGGACCCAGTTTGTGCCGTGCGGGAGAGCGCGATTGCGACGCTGACGGCAGTGGCAACTTCTTACGGCCCTGAGTGGGCCGCTCTCATGGCATTCGATCTTTTTCAGTGGGAATTTGCCTTCAAGGCCCGCACGCCGTACGTCTGGAGAGTTGTGGCGATTCAGTCACTTTCGGGCATTCTTCCCGTGGTGAGTGGCCTCTCGCCAATGGATCTGCGCCGCCAGGAGCTTATACAGCAGTGGATGCGTCTGGTGCGATTCTTCTCTGAAGACGCCGTCTCGAACGTGCGCCTGGCAGTTGCGAAGTCGCTGTTGGCGCACTGGGACTGGTACGCGGTGTGCGGCATCCATCACAACGTCATCCGCCAGTGTGCCGACCGCCTGCAGCGCGACAGTGACGTGGGTGTTTCGCGTGTTGCAGCGGAGCTCGACGTCAGCAGGTTGGCTGGCGATGGCAACTCTTTTTAGACACATGCGGCATTGCACTAACAAAGGAAAACGTGGGTGTGGGGAATATAGTGCAGTGAAGAAAATGAAAAAGAAAAATAGGGCAAAAGAAGATACGTATTATGAAAGGTATTTCGTTTTTTTTTTTCCCCCCTTATTGGACGTACTGCTCCATCATTGTTGCTACTGCTGGGTGGGGCGCGTCCAAACGATTACGTACCTATATATGTGCTTCGGTATTAAATCCCGGCGGTGGCCCTCCACCGTTCTCGCGGAGCGGTGTGTGTGCGTGTTTGTGTATGTGTGTGTGTGTGGCCGGTCCTTGTCTTGAAGGTAGTTCCTCTACCTGTGCTTTTCCTTACGGTTCCGCTTCACTCGCTGTAAATGTGCATTTGGACCAGCGTATGCACGCATATACATCTTTCTTTGTGGGTGCAGTTCATTCATCATCCACCTGCCCCTGCTCCCTCTGCCTCGCCCAGGTACGCTTTGCTGCATGCCACGGACTGCGCTGCCCACCCACTCACCCCTTTTGTTTTTCTTGTTTTGTTTTTACTGCTCTACGTGTAAGATGCGCGATGTATATTATTCTTCCTGTTTCCCTCGCTTCCTCTGCTTCTACGCCTTATATTCCCCGTTACTCACGGTTGCCATGCACGCCGCAATATGGCTGGCCTCCAGAAACGAGCGTGGTTGACGCTCATGGCTCTCCACACGGCGGGATGCAAAACCGGCGTGAAAACAAAGCCGCGGAGCAGCAGTGAGAGTGGTGTTGCGTGCCACGCTCACCTCTCCGCGGTGGAGGCCACTTCAATTGTCATGCGGCCACATGACATAGGGACGACGTTTATGAGCAAAACACTTTTTCAGATACCCGCTACTGAGGAGGGAACGACGGTTCGACATCAATGTCAACCGGACCCTGTTCTTTTCACGTTTCCGATGGACGGCAGGCATTTGTTTATGGCCTATGGGTCGGAGAGGTGCCAGCGGGATGGAGGTTCAAGGGTGTATGTCGTGCGTTTGTGCCTGGATGGTCCTCCAACGTTCCTTGTCAGTTACCTTCCCATCGCCATCATATCGGGATGCGTGCAGAACTACAGCGTGCACCCGTCACCATGGAGTGGGCAGGCGGCGCCTGTGTCAGTGGCGGGGGAGACGGGTGCTGAAACGGGTGGTTGTGTTCAACTGCCCGAGGAGGTAGCAAGAGAGACTGTTCGCCGTGGCGCGCAGCCGATGCAAATGGTGTCGTCTTGCCCAGATCAGGTTTATCCTTTTCTTGTGGCTGACGCGGCGATGCATGCAATTTGGGCGGTGGAAGTCGACACCGCAACGCTGGCGGTACGCCTGGTGACACCGTATCAGTACTGGAAGCGGAACGGTGGGGGTGATGATGTTGCGCCCGCAGATAACGTCAATCCACTCCAAGAAGAACCTCAACAACGAGGGTCAGTGTTTGCCTCAAAGCCAAAGGCATTACTAGGTGGTGTAGAAGGATTTGTTGACGGACCGTTTCACTTGGCTCGCTTTGCCTCTCCCGCAGCGCTTTGTTGGCGTCTGGATGGCGAGGCTCATGCGGCGGATGCGGCTAGGGAGGCAGGGCAACCGCACATACAACGGGGCACCTCTCATTCTGATGTCTTGTTTGTCAGTGACCGTGGAAACCACGCTGTGCGACAAGTTAACTTTCAAAGCAAAATGGTGCGCACCATTTTGGGTATTGACGGTGTTCCGGGCTATCGTGACGGCGATTGCCGTGTTTCTCGACTGCAGGAAGCCGCCTCTCTCGTCTGGTGCACCTCGGGACTTCTGTTCCTTGACAAACCCAACGGCGCGATTCGACTCATTACGAGACTGAAAGAAAAGAAGCAAATGACGGATGCAAAGAATGAAGAAGAGGTGGGTTCACATCAACATATTGCGCAGCCTGACATTTCTGCAGCGGCTTCGGTAAAACCCGCGACGCATGTCACATGTCGCGTGTGGACTGTGGCTGGTGGACTCTACGTAAATATGGGGTTATACGTTGATGCCAAAGAGCCACATCGGGCTTCATTGGGTACGCCAAGCACGTTGGCGCTAGCCCCAGATGGAGAAGGTGTATTATTTGCGGATAGTCAGTATGGGGCATTACGTCTGGTGTCCTTACGCGGGGTGGAGACCTTTTTTGGTTTCCACAACCTTTCCAACTCATTCTGCGTTCCCGCGGGATTGATGGCCTGTACACATGTTTTGTTGTGTCGCCTAACCACCCTCAATGGCGTCTCGCGTGACGCATTTCTCGTAAGCAGTGGAGTGCAAGGAACCGTCTCGTTGTTGGTGCCGTACAACCAGATGGAAGCCGCAGAGGAAGGGGCACGAGTAGACATCAAGTCCACCACCATCACCTCACTTGTCACAGAGGACTGTGTAGTGGTGGCGGCTGGTGTGCTACGCAAGCATACCTGCATTGATGGGAAATCCTGCACCCACGCGATGGGAGCTGCAGAAGCTGTTTCTTGTCGGCGTAAGCAAGCACGTGGGGACGATTATGGTCTTCACCTGAGAGACAATCTCAGAGAAGTGGCCTCGCCTTCGCTCACAGAGCATGCTGGCGTCCCGTCTCGCGTTCACTTCCTGCAGATGTCATCAAGTGATGGCCCGTTGGTTGCGGCAACGCGACGGCTCTTTGAGGTCTACGCGTATTACGCCAGCAAGACAATCGCCCCATCCACCATGACCGATGTCTGCCACTTGCAAGCTGTACAGAGACGGGGCCGTTTGAGTGTGTCGTATTCGCTCTCGTTAATGAGATTTTGGAGGTTTCTCACACACACGGAGTATTTTGGCGGGGGTACATTGAAGACAACGTCCCTGGCCGCCTCTTCCGCCTGCATGGCACCAGCAGCCGTTAGCCTGAGCGGCAATGAAAACATCGCAGCGGGCGTCATGTGCTGGAAGGACTGGCGCTGCGTTGCGGAGCTATTTCATATGCTAAGTGTGAGGCAGCATGGGTACAGTGTTCTTTCCGTCGTGAACTTTAGCCAGTTCTGCCGCATCATTCTTGCTTTCCATTGCTGGATGCGATGGCAGAGGCGGCGCGAGACGAGGAAAACGGAGGAGGGGAGGGAGAAGGAGGAGGGAGTTCACCGCGGCGTGGATCGCCTGATGCGTGTGTCGATCGATGAGCTTAGCGAGACGGAGGTTGTCGAGGTGTACGAGGACACCGTGCGACAGGTGAAGAGTGTAAACATTCACCTCCAACTGGCGGTGGATGAGCCACACAACAACGCAGAGGCCGGGGGAAGGGGAGGAGGAGGGGAGTTTTTGGCTGCTGACGACGTCCTTCGCGTGCTGGTGCGAAACGAGAAACCACTGCGGCAGCTGTTCGACGCATACAGCCAGCGACTGGTCCCTCCGCAGTCTTCAGCTTCTACTGCCGCGAAGAGTGAGGAGGCACGTAATCTGCGGTGGCTCCGCGCCATGCTGCTCTCCGCGGACACCGGAGGACACGCCGGCGCTGACGCCGTTTATGGCGTGCCATACGGCATGTTTCATAAACTGTTTCACGCCTTGGACGTGTTCCCGAGCCTTCTCAGTGAGGCCCTGCTGCGGCGCGCCTACGTTGACGCCCTTCTCACCCCTCTCTTCCAGACCCTGCGGCGTGCGGTGTTCACCGTGGACGAGCACGAAAAGGGTGAGCAGCAGCAGCAATTCATGCCCTTTGCGCTTGCAATATCCCAAGACGTGGAGAAGCGGCACGCTGGCGGCGGTACAGGGCTTGCGTTTATTCCCTTCGTGGAGGCCTTCACGCGCGTTGCCCTCACCGCCTTTTCGCTCTGCATTGAACATGACAGACGGATGTACCCCACCGCCGCTGCGAAGGTGGAGGCGCTGATGCGGTGGGTGAACCGATCCGTTGAACAATTTCACCAGCGCGAGCGGGGCGATGCGGCTACGCACTGCATTGCCGCGCGACGCGAGTGTGCCGCTGGCAGGCGTGCATTGCTGTTTGCATCCTTCCTTTTCTTTGACGTCCCCGCGCGCGCGGGAGGGCGACACAGCGGCTTAGGAGATATGAGAACGGGAGGAATGTGCAGCCCATAAAAGGCAGGACAAGAAGAAAAGGAACGGCATATTTTGTTTTGTTGCAACATCAGGAATCCGGTGGCTGAGGGGTCGTGGCGTCTCTCAGAAGGAGGAGGAGGGAGAGACGACACGCTAAAGAGAGGCAAACACACACACACACACACACACACGCATTCTCAATGCCTTTGTGAACAGGCTGAGAGTGTGTAAGGGGAAGGGCCCGCGTGCGTCGCGTTGATGGTTGGGTGTTGTTATTTGCTTATTTGCCCCGCGCTTTTACTTTGCTACATGTAGTGTTTTGATCGTTTTTTTTTCTTCTTTTTGCATGCCTCTGCCTTTCCATCCAAGTCTTTCTTGCGCTTACAGCGATCCATTTCGGAGTCAACTGTTGTTTTCTTTTCGTTGGGAGGTATTTGTCACACTACAGCTTTTGAAGTCATCCACACATCCGTCCAGAGCATAACCCATACATACACGCACACACACACACACACACACACATACACACACACCAGAGCTTTAAGATCCACTGTAATCATGGGAAGCGCACTGTCAGGCAACAAGTCGAAGAAAAGCAGCAACGGCACCTCGGCGTCTGCGTCATCAAAAAAGCAAGCGAAGTCGTCTAAGAATGATGAGAAGCAAAAAGTCGCGGACCCCGAGGAAGTGATATTGGCACCAGCCCCCCGCATTATACCCAAAGCCCCCAGCAAACTTGATGAGGCGTTCACCACACTCCAAAACGCAGACGACTGCCACTCGCTCCTCAAGAAGTACCTCACGCAGGAGGTTTTTGACGAGCTGAAGGAAAAACAGACGAAGATGGGCGCAACGCTCATGGACGTCATCCAGTCGGGTGTGGCAAACCTGGACTCTGGCGTCGGTGTGTACGCGCCTGATGCCGAGTCCTACACTGTGTTTGCTTCCCTCTTCGACCCCATCATTGAGGACTACCACAAGGGCTTCAAGTCTACCGACAAGCAGCCCCCGAAGGACTTTGGTGACCTGGACACATTCGTCGACGTGGATCCCGACCAAAAGTACGTCATCTCCACGCGCGTGCGGTGCGGGCGAAGCCTTGAGGGCTACCCGTTCAACCCCTGCCTCAAGAAGGAGCAGTACGAGGAGATGGAGTCGCGTGTGAAGGACCAGCTGGAGACGATGACGGGGGAGCTAAAGGGGACGTACTACCCCCTGACTGGCATGACGAAGGAGACACAACAGAAGCTGATTGACGATCACTTCCTGTTCAAGGAGGGCGACCGCTTCCTGCAGGCGGGGCACGCATGTGAGTTCTGGCCCACGGGCCGCGGCATCTACCACAACGACGATAAGACATTCCTTGTGTGGGTAAACGAGGAGGACCACCTGCGCATTATTTCCATGCAGAAGGGGGGCAACCTGAAGGAGGTCTTTGGCCGTCTCGTTGACGCCGTTAACATCATTGAGGAAAAGGTGAAGTTTTCGCGTGACGACCGTCTTGGTTTCCTGACGTTTTGCCCAACGAACCTTGGCACAACAATCCGTGCCAGCGTGCACATCAAGCTACCGAAGCTCGGTGCAGACCGCACGAAGTTGGAGGAAGTGGCGGCGCAATACAACCTGCAGGTGCGCGGTACGGCCGGTGAGCACTCGGACAGCCCTGATGGTGTCTACGACATCAGCAACAAGCGCCGTCTTGGCCTTTCCGAGTACGAGGCGGTCAAGGAAATGCAGGACGGTATCCTGGAGCTCATCAGGGCGGAAGAAGAGGCAGTGTAAATCCTGCGCTGCTGTGTGTGGAAACAACTGGGAATGAAAGTATTTAACTGTTTATTTTGCGCGCTTCTATTTTTGCCTCTTTGTTTAGTATGACATGACACACAATGTATAGTAGTGATACGTGGTTTAATGTTGTTGTTGTTTTTTTTTTTTGGCAAAAGTGAAAATGATAGAACATGGATGGAAGAGTCTTTTGCGTTTTGTTTGAAATGGCATGTTGATGAAAGAGAGGGGGAGTCTGAGGAAGAAAGACGAAGGATGAAAGAAAATGTAATGGGATGGATGATGTTCGAAAGGAATTGAGCACCATTAACTCGTAGAAAAGAATGTAGGGTGTTTTGTATACATGACATATCTCTGTGTGTGTTATTATTATTATTTTTTTTTTATCTTGCTTGTTTGTTTTGTGTGCCGTTAGTTTGTTGTTGTTGTTTTGTTTTTTTTTTTTGTTCCGATTTTTTTTTTTTTCGGTTGAGGTCGCGGCATGTGTTTGCCATGCACCTCGCCTCAATTGGCCCTGCTCCCTGCGTTTGTGTGTCGTGGTTGAGGGTCTTCACGGAGGGAAACGCGTGGCGGAATGTGGTGTCTTTTTGTTTCTGTTTTTATTTCTGTTTTTTTTTTTAGCGTTGCAGTTTGTGGGAGGAGGAGGGAGGGGGGAGGGATTCTTCACTTGATTGAAGCTGTTGGTTTCTTTATGCGTGTTTTCTTGTGTTTTGGTATTTCATCTTTGCCATGGCTCTCACTTTGTTTCTCTGCCTTCTCCCGCTTCCCGTCCACAGACCCACAAGGAAAAAGACACAGACACAGAAAAAAAAAAAGAAGGGTTCTACTCCAGTGCTTCAAGTGTGTGTAAGGTTTGAACCCCGTTGCTCTCCGCTGCACGTGCACACGCAGAGTGGGACACAGAAGGAAAGAAATGTCAAACGTTAGACCGATGCGGGTGAAAAATGATTCCGGGAGCGTCCCTCACATCGTTGCACGTCACATACACACGCAGTGGAAATGAGGCCCGCGCACGCACAGCAATGCTTCGTCAGGGGTGACTCTGTGGGAGGGCACACTAACATGTAGAGCGCTCTTTTGGGCATGGGGAAATCTTCTGCATGTCTTGAGCCCCATTTATGGTTTTTCTGCGCCCGTTGTAGAGCAAGTTTTGTTGGGGAGCCTGCGAAAAAAAAATGGTTCGGTGTGGCATGTGTTTCTCTCTGAAAGAATACAAATGCCCCAACACTGTCTGCTTTTTTCGGACCAATCAAGAAGTGTGCTTTCTCGCAAGGCGTATTGTTTTGAAAGGGTGAGTGCGTCTGTGTGCGGGTGCATGCATCGCGCGCTGTCCACAATACGCCTCACACTTTCCGGAGTGGGGCAGGTGGAAGCCGCCGCTGAAGGGCTTTCAAAAGGTAGCTGTGCCGCTGAACTGCCTCAACGGCGACTTCACTTGACGTTTACTCTTTGACTGGTGTATGTCTGAGCGATTACGCGGTCAGTGCGCTTCCTGTGGCGGATGGTGAACGCGTTGCACGGCCGGAGCCAAGGCAAAGCTGTGAATTGGCTCCCTTTGCAACAGCCCACGCGGCACAGGCGTTCGGATGCTTCTGCGTAGCGGTCTGGGGGAAGGGCACGAAGAGGCCAGACGGAGACCGGCCGAGAGAGAGTTGGTCTGCGGGCAGCGTTGAGGGGCTCAAGAGAGGCGTCCATGGGCGGCGGGGATGCGTCTGCAGGAACGTGCGTACTTGTACCTCTGATGGTGCAGTGGGGAACGTCCGACGGATGCGGTGCATGGCTGGCCGCTGGGTGCGTGGGGGAACTGTTTGCGTTATGCGCGGGGGAAATGTTTGTTGGTGGGACCTCACGTCTGGTGGGGAGGGCGATTCTGCGCTCAGTTACGCGGATCCTCCCGGCGGCGAGGGATCGTTTTGGGGCGCGGGTCTGGGGGTCTTCGCGGTGTCGCAGATGAGCCTCAAAAAAAAAAAAAAACGAAGGAAATGACTCGTATTCCTCGAGGCGGTTTCAGGAGTGCAGAAGCGCCCTTCCGCGTTTCCATCCGTTGTCGGCACCCAAGGAAGTGTAGGCGATGAGGGAGCGGCTTGGTCGCGCCCTCCCTGCAATTTGGGTACTGGGCAAATAAATACATGGCGGTTCCGTTTCTCCTTACATTTTGTGTGTTAGGTAGCGGCTTACGGCGAGGAGTTTGCGTTTTTCTATTATTATTATTTCCTCCTTTTTTTTCTGTGTGTGTGTGTGTGTGCTGACTGGCAATACTGTTACGTGCAGTGAACGAAAGGAAGGTGAAGGAAAAGAGGCAGGAGCAAAGGAAGTGAGAGGGACAATGGCGGAGTCAATGGACACTAACAGCCACACTCCACACGATCTGGCCCTTACCCTTGGGAAGGTTGTGAACTTTTCGTGGGAGAATCTGACCTACCGCGTTCCGGTAGAGGATGATGATGGCAACATTGGGTACAAGACGCTGCTTCACAATATGAACGGCACCGCCGTTGGTGGGCGTTTATTGGCGATCATGGGGCCATCGGGCGCTGGCAAGACGACGCTGATGGGGGCCATCACAGGCAAGCTCTACAACGCGAAGGCAAAGATGGAGGGGTGTTGCTTCCTCAACAACACAATATACTCTCCGCGGTATAAGAAGCTGGTGTCGTATGTCTCGCAGGACGATATTGTCATGGGCAAAGAGACCCCACGTGAGGCGATTAGATTCGCGTGCCGTGTACGTCTTGGGTTGGACGAGGAGGAGTCGGAAAAGATTGTGAATGAGGTCATCACACGGCTTCACCTCACCGAGTGCCAGCATACCATCTTGGGTATTCCAGGTATTTTGAAGGGCGTCTCTGGTGGTGAACGAAAGCGGACCAGCGTGGGAACTGAGCTTGCGACGAATCCCTGTGTCATGCTTTTGGACGAGCCAACCACTGGCTTGGACTCGGTCAACGCTCTGCGCGTCGGTCAAATGCTTCGGGATTTGGCAAAGAAAGATATGCGCACGGTCATTGCAACGGTGCACTCGCCATCATCCGAATTATTCGACATTTTCGATGATCTGTTGCTTCTCGCAAAGGGTCACGTTATCTACCACGGCCCCACAGCAGACGCTGTGGCCTACTTTTCCACTTTGGGCTACCAGGTTCCACCCCGTACCAACCCCAGTGAGTATTTTATGAACGTGTTGCAGCTTCCTGAGGAGGAATTGTCTCAATTGTGGCTGGCGTGGGAAGACTACGTTGTGTCAGCCGCAGCGAACTACAACAATTGTCTCATGTTGGTGCAGGGCCCCATTACTCATCAAGACGAGTTTTTGGAGAGTCAACTGAAGTTGAAGGGATCCAGTTATGCAGTGCAGTTTGTTGAGCTTGCGAAACGCTCTTTTCGTATGTTTCGTCGTGACCCTGGCGCCTTTATGGGCCGCTCATTTCAGACACTTTTTTTTGCAGTGTTTATGGGTCTTTTCTTTTTCAATGTGAAATTGAATCAGCAAGGTGTCCAGGACCGTGCGGGAGCACTTTATATAACACTGATGAATAACTTGTTTGGAGCGTGTATGCATGGTATCTCCGCCTATCCCCCCGAGCGAGCTGTGTTCTTGCAAGAGCAGGCCAATGGTTTCTACAACGCGTTTGTGTACTTTGCTGCCAAGTATGCCGCTGAGATTCCGTTTCAGGTGTTATTTCCAACCATATTTGACCTTGTCGCATACTTTATGATACACTTTTACCGCTCTCCTGGGGCCTTCTTCGTGCATTGGTTTCTTCTGGTGATCCTCGCAACGTTGGGGTACTCGTTTGGGTTGATGTTCGCGACCTTCTTTGAATCAGCGACGACAGCCTTTGCAATTATACCGGTGATTTTCCTCCCACTTTTCATCGTGGCTGGGCTGTTCGCTAATACCAAACGACTCATTCCCTACTGGGCGTGGCTGAATTACCTCTCATTCCCCCGCCATGCGTACCTTGGTGTCTTTACAAATGAATTCAGGCGGCTGGATGTCATCTGTGACCCCGTCACACCCCACTGCGTCTACCCTAACGGCGACGCCGTTATTGAGCAGTTTGGTTTTGAGGACTGGCACCCGTGGCAATCAATGGTGTCGTTGATTGTGTACCAAGTGTGTCTGGCCACAATTGGAAGTATCTCGCTTTACACTCAGGGCGTGAAGCGGCGGGGGAGGCTGGCCTTTGTAAAGAACCTTGACTTTCGCGTGGCGTCGCCACGGGCGATTGCTTCCGCACGTAGCAGCGGTGAACTGCTTGATTCCGATGTAACACCGATGGACGAAATTCCAACGCCATCCGCCGCCTACACTGACGTGTCACATTTCAACGCAGGTGACTCCTTGCATTTCGCGAATGGTGTTGGGGAGAGGGATGGCTTCAGCATCATTACGCCCAAATCGAAGAGGGGTGAATAGTTGCAACATGGTCCCCACAACATTGAGGGGAGAAATGAGTACATGAGTAGGATTTTCTTCTTGTTTTGTAGCCTTCAACCAAAAAGAAAAAAAAGAAAAGAAAAAAAAAATTAAAGAAACTAACTTAGTACTATATATATATATATATATATATATATGTGTGTGTGTGTGTCGTAGTCGTGTGTGTGTGTGTGTGTGTGTGTGTGTGTGTGTGTGTGTGTGTGTGTGT